CTAATCCAGCTTCCTGTTAATGCATCTGGGAAGGCGTAGAAGATCCAGTACTTGGGATATTGACAGCTACAGTCTGACTTGAGCTTTCTGCTAATGCACACCCTAGAAAGCAGAAGGTGATGGCTCAAGTTCTTGGGTCCCTGTCACCTATGTGGCAGACCCAATTGGGTTCTCAGCCTCTGGCTTGGACCTGGCCCAGTCCTAGCTGTTGGGGGCAGTTGGGGAGTATACCAGCAGATGAGAGATCTCTTTCTGTCTCTCTCTGTGCCTTAGAGATAAATTAAATAAATGAAAATTTTAAATATTTAATTTAAAATATTTAAATTTAAATTAAAATATTTAAATACTTAAATTTTAAATGAATATTTAAATTTAAACCCTCTTTCTCTTCATTTCCCAATCATGGGTCATTTCCTTCAGAGAATTAACTGTTCTATGTGCTTTCTATTCTAATGTTCCAATATTTAGATGTAATTTATTTTAGTTGGGAAATTTTCATTTCATGGAAAAATGCTTATTATAAACTTAAGCCATTCCCTGTATTTTCCCCTTTATGTTAACCAAAAAATGACTGCAAGTTATATATAAATTTTCAATACAGAATTATGACTCCACATCTCATTTCTATGTTAGTACTTCTCACCATGATTATTATCTTTTGGAAGTCTTTCTTCTACCACTTTAGTCTGTTCTCCTGAAACTGTTTCTGCCATAAGCCTCTCTACAAACAAGATCTGTAGTAGCCTGCTTCAAGAACTTTACTTTTCTTTATTTTTAATTATGAATATGTTTTTTTACAAATGCTTATTTCATTTTTTCATCAACTTGAAAGGTAAAGTGATGGAAAAGGAGGGAGAGAGGGAGAGAGAGATTGATTTTCTATCTACAGGTTCATCCCCCAAATGGCAGCACAACCAGGTCTGAGCCAGGCTAAAGTCAGGAGGCAGGAACTTCCTTCACATCTCACTCATGGCAGCAGAGCCTCAAGCCCTAAAGCCATCATCTGCTGCCCCTTAAGATGTGTTAGCAGGAAGTAGGACTGGAAGCAGACAAGTCAGGGTTCAAACCAGCAATCCAGCTGAGATGTGGGCATCCCCGGCAGTGGTTGCATCTGCTACACCAGAACACCCACTGTACTTAGAGGGTCTTAAACCTCTGTTAGTTCAGGGCTAAAACTTAAGGCTTTTCTCCATACAACAGGTAGTCAGTAAATGATCAGAAATGACACATGTATATACACATTCTGAAATTGTGATTTCCAGAGTCATGGTGATAAGCTGTCTACTTCCTCCGCCTGTGTTCTTTACTTACTTTTCTCTCAGCATTTGGACTCTTATTTACATACTTAGGTTTCAATTCTTATTTATACACTCAGAGTTTTGTTTGTTTATTTTTATATCCATAAATTTTATTCTTACATTATTTCAAATCTCTAAGATACAATAATCTCTGTATTCATGTATTTAACAAGTGCTAATATATCACTTATATGTGCAAAGTATAAATGATATTACTTGTTCAGAAAGGAATACTGCCCTTTTAGGGTTGATGGTTTTGGAAAGGACACAAAGTATCTATGTAAGTCCTACCAAGAATCATCTGAAATGTAACCACAAATAATGAGCTTCCTTTGGGAAGGCAGCTTGTGGGAGGCAGGGGTATCTGAGCTGAAGCATGGCAGGTGGTGCATTGTGGGCAGGGTGGGAATGGTACTCTCTGAAGAGTTAGCCACTTCATTCCACCAGTCTCACCCTGACACTCAGTAAGTGTGATGAGTTTCACCCGATTGTCTAACATGATAAATTTTATATATTAGTAATATTTCACACTTAAAAAATTAACAGTAGGCTTTCCGTATGACTTTTCTTCCTTTCTCTACACACCATGCTGTCTCCTTGACCAAATCCAACTGATAAACACACACACACACACACAGTAAACACTCTACTGCAGAACTCTTTCTCTTACTACTCAGTTGAACTTTTGTTTAGGGATCAATCACTCAGTCTCTCATTGAGAAAATACATTGCGAAGGCAGCAAGTTAGGTGTTGGGGATACAACAAGAATTACACAGACTCAGTTCTGATCCTTGAACATTATCAACAGAGCAACAGAAATATCCAGAAATTGTTGGACTGTGGTTGCTTTTCAAATGCCATCTTTTTCCTTCCTAAATAAGTGGCCTGGCTTCACCATCATAAACACACTCTCATAGTATCACAGGACAAGTCCCACAAGGAAAATTACATAATTAACCATGTAACAGCAAGCAACAAAGGACATTAATTGAGCTGTTAAGACTCAATTAACAAATCAATGTGTGGTTTGTGAATATCTGGCTTTAAAATAACTGAAATAGCAGTTAAGAAGGAAACAGTGAGGCTCATATAGGGGTCAAAGGGCAGAGAAATGACTTTCATGGAAGAACGGTGATCTGAGCTTGGAGAATCTTGCCCTAGAAAATAAAAAGTGTGAAGGAAGGGCAGATGTTTGGTGGAGATGCTGGTGGAGATGCTGGCATGCGATACTGGAGTGCCTGGTTCCAGTCCTGGCTCTGCTCCTAATGCCAGCTTCCTGCTCATATGCAACCTGGGATGCAGCAGTTGATGGCTCAAGACAACTACCTGTTGGCCGGTGCCGCGGCTCACTAGGCTAATCCTCCACCTTGTGGCACCGGCACACGGGGTTCTAGTTCCGGTCGGGGCGCCGGATTCTGTCCCGGTTGCCCCTCTTCCAGGCCAGCTCTCTGCTGTGGCCAGGGAGTGCAGTGGAGGATGGCCCAAGTCCTTGGGCCCTGCACCCCATGGGAGACCAGGAGAAGCACCTGGCTCCTGCCATCGGCCGCAGCGCGCCAGCCACAGCGGCCATTGGAGGGTGAACCAATGGCAAAAAGGAAGACCTTTCTCTCTGTCTCTTTCTGTCTCACTATCCACTCTGCCTGTAAAAAAAAAAAAAAGAAAAAAAAAGAAAAAAAAAAGACAAAAGACAACTACCTGCTACTCAGGGGACAGACCTGGATTGAATTTCTGGCTCCTGGTTTAAGGTCAAGCCTGGCTGTAGAGGATATCTAGGGAGTGAACCAGCTCTTTGGTTTTCTCTCTGTCTCTCTAACACATTTTTAAAAGTTTGTGGCAAATAGAATTAAAAGATGAGTTTATTTCAAGTTCATAAAGAGTCAAATGGAGGCTCTGTCATTTTCACTATTTGAGAGAGTCTAAAGAGAAGCTTAAAATAATGAGAAGAAAAAACAGAAGCTGCTAGACATGCTTGGGACACAGTGACCAAGGGTATGATTGTAAAGAAAAAAAAATGCAGAAAAAAAAACCAGAAGAAGAAGTCTGAAGAATAACAAGACTAAAATTTTACAGGAATACACTAAGTCATCATTGTGTCTGTTAAGTTGGCTTGTTGAAAAAAAAAAGATCTTTTGTAACAATAAAAGTGGGTTTCTAGAGGAAGGAAGAGACTGTGACAGCTTCCCTGAGGAAGATTCAATCTGGGCATAAAGCTCTCATTCTAGGGCAGAAGTAAAAGTAGGAGGGACAGTGACCTGTGGGGAGAAGGGAGAGCTCACCACAGGCGGTCTTGGTAATACCCACGAGTGATTGATCCTCTGGCATCATCCAGGGAGGGCAGGGAAGAAAGAAGGATGTAGGAAGAGGAGAAAACAGTCACTTGCTATCCTTGAAAACGGGCTCAGGGTTCCATGAGTGACAGCAAAATGAACAGCAGTGAGGACAGAGTAAATCAGTATGAGGTCAAGTTAACACCATTGCATGAGATCCTCAACTCTGCAGCTTGGGAGCAGAGAAGGCAGATAGGACCCATGACAGCAAATACCAGTCCTTTCTGGCTACATCTCCCCCCCCCCCCCCCCATCACAACAGACACACACAATCACAAGTATCTGCTACTGGCTTGTATTCAATGCATCCTGGGATCTGGATTGTGATGAGGCATAATTATTCCCCACCTTGCGGCATGTGGCGGTTTACCTTGAAATTCGAATCTCTTGATTGTAAGGTATTTTGACCTTTTCCCTTTTCCCTGAAACAGCAGGGAACCATTGGATTTTTCTCTCATCGCAACATCTAACAAATGGGATACTGTCATATTATGATGACCACAACTAATTGAAATTGGTTTTATTTTTCCTCCATTAAGAAAATTTCATTTTAGTGCTAAGTTGTTCTATGTCCTTTACTTTTCTAGCCTCAAAAATAGTCCAGGTAAACAATTAACTATTAATTTTTGTATATCTCTCATACAAAATGAATTCATAAATCAGGACTAATACTGTTTACCATTAAAACATGTGCTGTACATTGAGGCTTAATGCTATAACGAGTACTCAAACAGTATATTTCACTTTGTGTTTCTATGGGGGTGCAAACTGTTGAAATCTTTACTTAATGTATACTAAACTGATCTTCTGTTAAAAAAAAAAAAGAAGAAAAAATTATCAATTCCCAACTTGACTCTCGATGGGATTAAACATGACAATAGGTCTGATCTGATTTCATCATCATTTAAAAAATCATCTATTATTTTTCACTTTATGTTTCTGTGTGGGAGCAAACTGTTGAAATCTTTACTTAATGTATGCTAAACTGATCTTCTGTATATAAAGAGAATCGAAAATGAATCTTGATGTGAATGGAAGGGGAGAGGGAGTGGGAAAGGGGAGGGTTGCAGGTGGGAGGGACATTATGGGGGGGAAGCCATTGTAATCCATAAGCCGTACTTTGGAAATTTATATTCATTAAATAAAAGTTAAAAAAAAAAAAACAAACATGAGACTACACAATGAATTAAATATGTGCAGTTCAACTATGTAACAGCTTCAGTTAAATCACCAGTATCTGTTCAATGGAAGACTTGATAGTTTATTTCTTAATTTTGGCATCTAAGATGGTATATAGTTTTTGCTAACTTCCTTCAGCTTGAATTCTAAAAACTTACCAATGTACGAAAGTAACAGTGTTGATACAAGCCACAATTACACTTCTTGAAACTCTCTCTCTTTTTCTTGCAACATACTGAAAAACAACAAGAATCATGGTGATTTGCTTTAGAACAGATTCTGAAGTACACCAAAATCTGGGCATTGTAAAGGGCAGTCTTTCTATAAATATTGCAGTAAAAGATTGCAAAATGGGGTAAGCAACTGACCTTCCTAAGTATTATCACAGAGAAGACAGAAGGATTTATCTGTTTCAACATGGTCTTTTCAAGTAGTTTTAAAAATAAATTTCTCTGTCTCTCTCCATATATATATATATGTATCTATATACATGTATATAATATTTACATATCTATATATACATATACAATATGTATATTATATATACATACATATATACACATTTATACATACTAAAAATGGTTATATGCACTTAATGAGTGTGTGTATACACACAGGCATGACATGAGAGGAAGTACCATGGCCAAGTTAAAATTATAGCTGAAGGTAAATGAAAGAATAAGTGTTGGGAGGGACAGAATAAAGTTAGTCATCAGGGCCAATTATAATACATGGATAGACATCTTAAAATAATTTTATTTGTCTTTTGTGAAAAATGCTAAACATGATAAGGAAAGTTAAGGGCCCTCAAAGCCAGACTGAAGCAAACAATATATTAAGTATGCAAGAAAAAAGTCATCAATTGTATCTTGACTAGGAAGGGATTTTTCAGGGAAATGTAATAGGGTGAATTTAAGAAGAACTAAAGATTCTGTGGTAGCAACTTAGACAACAGATAATAAAGGCATGAACAAAGGTGATCATTGCCAAACAGAATTTAACAAATCAGTATGTCTAGCTAGCAATAGTGTAGAAAATAAAAATAAAATGTGCCTTCAGAGATGATTCTGTGAAAGCATTTTACAGGGCAATGGAGATATAGGAGGAAGGAGTGAGAGGTCAGAAACATGTTGACGATTTGAGATGTACTGTTTGGGAGCTGCATCATGAGAGTGAACAACTAAAGATATTGTGAGCACGTGCGTGCACAGTTTCTGAAATGGCAATGGCAGGTTTCCTTATGCACACATTTGACAAAACAAAATACCTTATCTCATTATCCTCTTCATTACTCTGTATATTTTCACCTGCCCTTGTAAGATTTGGTTGTTTCTTCTGGGAAAAGAAGAATGACATAAATTGTAAAAATGTTACTGAATGATATAATATTTAAGAAGTAAGTGGTCTTCACTTTTATATTGTATGCCCAAAACACCAATAACTTTTTCTGCATGCAGCATATAAAATATTTTACAATAAAAATTATGAAAAATGCAGTGTTATCAACTCAACATTTTTAGTTGTTGGAGGCGAAAGAGTAATAAAAAAACTGACAGATTTAAATAGCAATCAGATTCAAAAGACATTTCCAAAAAGCTGAGTCATGATGATTTAGCACATTTTAAAATTTTAGACAGGCTTCAATAAAAAGACAACAAAGAACAGTAATTCAAAATAGCAGTAACATAAATGGCATTTCTATCTTTTCAGCACAACAGATGATTTTTAGCCTATTTTCTTCCTTTTGATATTTCTCCAAAGCATAATGAGCAGTGGTGAGAACCTTTCTAACATCTAAATTCTATTGAAACCACTAGGGCCAAACTCATTTTCTCTTGGCGGAGCCATTCTTGGAAAAGGGAAATTTGTGTGCTAATCCTTTATATAAATAAGTATGAACAAAAAACTTTAAAGTTGGCAAAGAGGAAAGGAAAAAAAAAAGAACAGCAGCACTTACCTTCCAGTATAAGGCTCCAAAAGCAAAGCCAATTACAAGAGAAAAGAATGCTGGCAACGCCATGGCTGCCCACTGTAGGCTGGAGTCTGCAATGGAACTTTCAGCCTTGCCTGTAATTAATTTAAAGAGCACAGTGGTCACTACAGCAGATCCATCCTACACCTTTTTCTCTTATACTGTGGTTGATCCCAACTGTTTCCATAATGTATTCTTGACCTACATCTGCTTAAAGTATTTAAAAAGCTGAGTTTTCTGCTGAGTACTGTTTTTAACAAGGCAATATAAGTTCATGTGACCTCCAAAACATGAATACAGTTGAAAAGGGAAGAAATTCCACAGACAGAAAGAGATTTGACTTAGTTAATGTTGATGCATCAATAACACAGACTTGGTATACTCCTGAGTGGTAGCTTTGGGATCCGCAAGGAGGGAAGGCCTACACTTCCGGGAATGGAGAGGCCTACTTCCGGGGAAGAAAGTCCTTGTCAAGGTTCCTGCAGGTGCCTAAAGGTCAACCAATGAGGATCAGACCCGCCTCAACCTTTAACCCCCATGCCCTGAATCTATAAAAGGAGCTCTCCCAATCTCTGACGCGTGACTTCCCCGGCCCCCGCTCTCTTGCTCTGTTGGGACCGGGGAACCTCGCCCGGGAGCGGAACCCCAATAAAAGCCTGTGAATTAATTGATTCGTCTGCCTGGGAAGATCTGTTACGCACTGGACACCTTACACTGGGGAGGGGGGTGGGGGTGATATAATACTATTAAGCAAATCTATTTCCTACACTTCTGCGTTCTAATGTCTTTTCACTTTCTTCTTTTTGACATCTTGCCCAGAAAATTTAAAGATAAGTTTTTACAACCTGGATCAAAATCTGTACACATTCACTTATCTTGGGCCTGCCTCAAATATTGTCATTATATTTGCACTGTGGGTTATAGCATTCAGAGTTATTTCATGCTTAGACTCGCGGATGTTCCCTCATTTACATCCTCCATACACATTCATGGGATGCTAGGTAGGGCCAAGCACTGTACCATGGACAAAGGGATTGATTTTTCAGACATTTTATGTTGGAAAAGTTGAAACTAACACCAACAATGGTAAAGAGCACCGGTGCCATTCCACACTAAATAACTCCAAATAAGAACTTAGTGACAGAGAAGACAAACAGGGGAGATGTGGGAAACCTTTCTTGGTCCTGCCTCACTCTTCCATGAGAAGCAGAATGATTCCCAGATTAAATAAAGCACCTCTCTCACAGGGGTCTCTTCCTCCCAATGTGAAGCTTATTCTGACTTTACTTTTATGTGTCTCCATACAAAGAACAATGTGGTTGTTTGAAATGGTCAGTGTTATCGGCTTTTGTTATCTCATTTATTAATGCATGGAGCTTAAAGGCCAGGCCTTTGGTTCTCCATGAACACTACTGCTTTCACTTGCAGGGGTGGCTCTCCAGTTCTTGCCACTCCCGTTATCCACCAGGAACCAGTGACTCACAGGACTGGTATCTGAAACCAAAGCCCAAGCCGATAACAAAGGTTTGCTTTTGTAGAGATTGCCTCTAGAGACCTGGTGGGGTCAGGGAGCTCATCTGACACAGACATGCTAGTTTCCCAAGTTAGATTTGCAGGTTTTTTGATGCTACCATAAATTTAGAAATTATAAATTTCTGACTATTATATGATCAAAATGTAAACTAATTCAAGGTAAAGTGGACTGCTCTTGGCAAATTCTGCAATGGTATTTGGGTTAAGGGTCAGCCAACAATTACTTATGTAACATATAAAGTACTTCATATAAAAGAACTTATTAACTGCATGTGTGTCAACATTTTATGAGAAAAATACAATCACAGAATTAACCTGAGATAAGAAACAGATCTTATCTAGTGTAATGACAAAATGAATTGCCATTTCCCTACCATATGTGAACTGGGAGCAGGAAATCCCCTAATTCTATGATTCCCGTGTTTCCCAAGAGATCTACAGCTAGTACAGGGTGCAGAAGGTTGTGCAGGGACTTGTTGGGAGCGGGTCATCCATTTATGTAACCTTGAACTGCCTCCGGAAAAAGACTCACAGTTGTTCTGATCTACCACATTCTACAGCCCCATGGGAGCTTCAGGCACCTCAAACTAGAGTTCAACATGAATTTTCTCAGCAAAATAAAGTCTGAGCTATAAAATGGGATTTGGCATAATGGATATAGAACTATTATTAACACACCTGTAAAAGTATATGATTACATGGGCTGGTCTGGGATTTTACTACCATTTGTAAAAGTGTTTTCTATGAGAAAGCAGATTCAGAGTTATAAGCAATTCATATCATTTTAGGAATTTTAGTATCACTACATGTCAAACATATTTTGGTGATTTGTGTTTGGATTTTCCTTGGTCACCCATCTGCTATGGCCTCCACTGCCCACTGGAATTGCTGGCACGTATTTGTGATAGATTTTACTATGTGACCTCCTGGTAAGGCCCCAACCAATGTGTGCAGAGCCCAAAGGAAGCCATGGATATTTTGTCCCCAAACCCTAATGTAAAACTTGAATGAACTAAGATGGTGCTATAGAGAACTCTTATTTCCTATGATTGATCAGCCAAATGCACTGGAATTGAAGCCGCCAACTCCCTTATTCTTTACTGTTCTAGCCAATGGCCAAACCCAAGTCTTGGATGTCACCACACAGACCATGGAAAAGAACTGACCCACTGACGAAAAGCAGAAGGAGCTTACTAGATAGTGATTATATTTTAGAATTGGCCACCCAAAACCTTCCTCAGGCAGGAGGATATATAATCTAAGAAAGAGTCTGAAACAAAGGTATGTCGGAGACCTGGCTATGGAAAGCTTATACTCCCTCTCTGAGAGTGCTGCGACTTTTTAACCACTCTGACAGTTCCATCCTTAGGTCTGTGGGCCAGTACAAAGTCCTAGAACCCGATTATGACACTGCAGCAATTCCCCTGTAGGAGAAAGGCGGAAGAGGAAGAGCAAAGATAGGTAGGGGAAGACTCAGAGGTATTGAGCGTCACTTTCTTCGACGGTCAATGTTACCTGCTTTTCTTCTCTCTCTTATTAATGCATAGGGCTTAAAGGCCAGGCCGTGGGTTCTCCAGGGACACTACTACTTGCACTTGCAGGGGTGGCTCTCCAGTTCTTGCCACTCCTGTTATCCACCAGGAACCACTGAATCACAGGAAGGGTACCTGAAGCCAAAGCCCAGGCTGCTAACAAAGGTTTGCTTTTGTAGAGATTGCCTCTCGAGACCTGGTGAGGTCGGGGAGCTCACCTGGACAGAATCTGAGTAACCCCAAATTCCCAGGTTAACCACCTTAATTGTCTCTCATCAATACTAAAACTATCCCCTGTCCAAAATTCATTAGAATTGAGTTATTTGTATGACTAATAATGACCAACATCTAGAACAGGGTGCACGAAACACTGCTACAATTTACTGAACTTAAAGTAATCCTGCTTAGGAACAATGCCATGCCTGTGAATATGGATCTTGGTGCTTAGGGAGCAGACCCAATGCTCACTACAGTATCACCATAAGAATGGCTCCATAGTCTCACTGCATCTAATTGTTCTTATAATCAGTGGTGAGTTCCAATCCTGGCACCAAGCCCATGTGTACAAACTCATTAAAGCTCCCAGAAACCCTGCAAAGGCGGTATCATGACTCTCTGTTGGATGGAGTTGTCAAGAGAGTTTAAATAACTTGTCCAAAGTCAGCGAGTTAAGGGCTAGAGCTGGGATGTGAGTCCAGGGAGTCTGATTCAAGTCTGTACTTCTGGAAGATATATAAGGCAATGTCAAAGCACGGATTTCTTTCTGTACTATTAAATACTGTCTGTAAGGATCTCAGAGTTAAACATCTTTTAAACATCTTTTAACATCCCTGCAACTTGGAATAGAGAATATTACTATTGTTAGCATGGTTCCCTCTGGATAAATAATAGGCTTGTATATTATCCCAAAACTCTCCCTTGGACTCTCACATCTCTGGAATATGCCCTCCTAAATCCTGGTCCTCTGACTGGCGTAGCCAGCTTTGGGTCTGAATTTCTGACAACTAGCATGCTTCCTTAAAATTTCCTGACCCCAGGCTGGCGCCGCAGCTCACTTGGCTAATCCTCCGCCTGCAGTGCCAGCACCCCAGGTTCTAGTCCCGGTTGGGGCACCGGATTCTGTCCCAGTTGCTTCTCTTCCAGTCCAGCTCTCTGCTGTGACCCGGGAGTGCAGTGGAGGATGGCCCAAGTGCTTGGGCCCTGCACCTACATGGGAGACCAGGAGAAGTACCTGGCTCCTGGCTTGGGATCGGCGCAGCACGCCAGCTGTAGCAGCCATTTGGGGGGGGTGAACCAACGGAAGGAAGACCTTTCTCTCTCTCTCTCTCTCTGTCTAACTCTGCCTGTGAAAAAAAAAAAAATTTCCTGATCCCTCTCCAAAAACAACAACCGAAACAACCCTCTTAACTCTTTTATGCTACAATGTAAGACATTTACATAATTCTATTATACATATTACATACTATACACTGTACCATGGACATTTTATTCACATCTGTTTCTCTTAGAGAGTGAGTACCGTATAAGTTTGTCTTTTTTTATCAGTTAATTTGTTAAAAACTTTTAAATTAATATAAAGGGAGTATATTTCATGTACTCCATAGATGAAAGCTTGTCTATTACACAAGTATCTAACTGACATATTCATGGCCAAAAGCTGCTAACAACATAAGACTATAGTTTTTGAAAAAGGAAGAAAAATATGCTACAAAAATAAAGAAGGGTGTCTACTCATGCTGTAATTTAAAATGTACCCTCAGTCATATAGACGCAAGATGGAATAGGATTTTTACATTTAGTTTATCTTTTAAAGTTAGCAGGAAAAACTTTTGCTTCCAACCACAGTTGTGGCAAACAGGCCCTCTGAACCTAAATAATTATAATGCTGGAAAATTATATGAGGCAGCTACTCTCAGAAATTAGTCAATAATTAGCACAAAAATGTAATTCTTCAGAGAAAACTCACCAAGGGAGGCCAGGGATGGCTTAGACTTTCTTTTAGCTCTTCTGGCTGGGAGGCACATTTAAACTGGGGACTGGAAGACAGAGCCCAAGCAAGGCTCAGTGGTCTCACTGAGATAGAGCAGGAAACTGAAATTTGGGGTTGTTGATATGGCAGGGATGGGCGAGTGGAGTTATTTGCAAGAAGGCAGCTGTTCAGAGAAGGAACATCAGAAATCTCCAGACAGCTCTCCTTAAGGTATTGGTGAAATAAGCTACATGTGCATAGCAAGATATGTCCCAAAACTGGACAAGAAGACAACTGCTAGGAAGCTATAATCTTAACAGAGACCCTAGCGGTCATACAGAAATAAAGGACGAATAAATTCGGAGAAACAATATTGAGAGACTTTCTGAGTACTCTAGGGATATCTTGAGGTTTTCATGCTCTAGGTAAGTCTATGGCTCCCCTATCCTAAAGAGAGTTTAAAAACAAGCCTGAGAAAGAAGTAACTGAACCTCCAACAAAACAGCCTCCAAAGAAATGCTACAACATCTGGAAGCTACTCAATGACGTAACATCCAGACTATATTAAAAAAAAACACCAGCTATTTAAAGGGAAATGAGGCACATATCAGGGAGAATGAAACTCCACTGAAACCAACCTACATGTTGAAATTAGAAGAATTTCAGAGCAGCTATTATTATAATTAAGTTTAAGGCAGAAAAGAAGAAAATATTGTCATAATTATGCAAATAGAAAATCTCAGCAGAGAAATATAAATTATAGAAGTATTCAAATGGAAGTTTCCAGAACACAAAATACAAAATCAGGAATGAAAAAATTCACCAGTTGAAAATTCAGCAGATTAGAAATGGGAGAGAGAAGAGTCAGTGACCTTGAAAACAGACAAGTAGAAATCAACCACTCAAAACAAAAAAAATCTGTTAACACAAGGCATAATATCGAGCAAAAAGTAGTAGCTATGAAGCTGACATTGTGGTGTGGCAAGTTAAGCCATTGCTTGTAACCTCGTATCAGAGTGCCAGTTTGATTCCTGTCAATTCTAATTCGGATCCAGGTTCCTCGTAATGGACCTGGGAAGGAGGCCATGGGCCACCCATGGAAGACCCAGCTGGAATTTCTGGATGTGGCTTTGGCTTGGCACAAGCCTGGCTGTTGCAGTCATTTGGGGAGTGAACCAGCAGATGGAAGATCTCTTTCTGTTGCTCTGCCTTTCAAGTAAAGATAAATAAATCTTTTTTTAAAAAAGTAGCAGCTACATGCAAGCAAAATAAAGACATTTTCTAATTAAAAGAAAAAAAGGAATTTGTAGACACTAGATCTGTAGTACAAGAAACCAAAAAGAAAGTCTTTCAGCCTAAGAGGAATTAACACCAGATGGCAACTTGGATTTTCAAGTGGGAATGAAGTGTACAGGAAATAATAAATATGTGGGTATATAACAGGCAATGTATATTTGCTTCTTTTACTTGCTCTGTTACTCTGCCTTTCAAATAAATGAATGTTTCTTTCAAAAAAGAATCAGATAAATTCACAACCAAAAGGAAAGACTTTTAATTCCCCTTCCTCAATAAGTAAATGATAGGGAAAATAGGAACAACACTATCAACTACTTTGACCAGATTTGAGAATGTTACACCCAATCATTGACTAATACACATAAAATGTCTTCATAAATTTCTAAAGATTACAGAGAATGTTCTCTGGCAATAAAAGAACTAATTTAGAAGACAACTAGAGAAATCTAAATTTCATATTTAGGAAAATCTAAAATTTTAAAAATATCAACAAACTAATTTCTATAATACAAATCAGAAAAATCATAAGAATTTTTAAATATTTTGAAAAAGATGATAATGAAATCACAACCTATAAAAATATGTGGGATACAAGCAGGCATTTGGCCTAGTGGTTAAGACACCTATATCCCATTTTGCAAAGCCTGGGTTGGATTCCTGGCTCTGGCTCCTGACTCCAGATTCCTGCTAATGCAGCCCTTGGGATACAGTAGGTGATGGTTCAAGTGGTTGGGCTCCTGCCACCTATGTGGGAGAGCCACACCGAGTTCACAGCTCCCAGTTTCAGTCTAGCTTAGTCTTGGCCATTGCAGGCCTTTGGAGAGTGAACCAGCAGCCGGGAACACTGTCTGTCTTTGCCTCTTGAGTTAAAAAAAAGGTGTGGGATGCAATTGAAACAAGTACTACAGGGGCATTTATTTCTTCAAGAGTGTACAACTACTGAAAAATTGCTTAAAATCATGACTGATTTTTCCACCTTAAGAAGGTATGACAAGCTGAGTAAATTAAACCCAAAGTGAATAAAAGGAAAGAAATAGCAAAGGTTAGAAATAAATAAAATATAAGCAGAATTTAAGAAGCTGAAATTGCTGCTTTGAAAAGATTAGTAAAGTTCACAGAGAACTTAATCAACTAAGACACATTTGAGGCTCAATCCCTTTTTATAACTTCAGATCTGATGTGGCATGTAATCCAAAATTATAGATTTTTAGAAGATTCTGTCCTGCAAATACTGTATGTTCTGTACTACCCACAGTGTATTCTGGGTTTCATCCTGCCATCAGATACTCTAATATTTCTGAAATAAAACATATTAAATATTCACTTTTAAAAGAATTAAAGATATAAGTAATCTCAGTTCAGGTCAGCTTTTGGTGGGGAAAATTGCCAAACAAATTGTATGTTAGAGGTTTTTTTTTTTTAAATTTCTGCATTATAGACAGCTAGTGTGGATTTGTAATAAACTGCTTACTCCACTTTACACGGATGTCTTCTGTGTCCTTGAACAAATGGCAGTGCCCCATTTATGTCTTAAGAGAAGACTTTTTTTAGCTAAGCTCACAAGATAATTCTATTCTTCTTTCAGCTTCCATGGAGCTAGAGGGAATTTAATAAATCCAATACCCTTTGCAATGACCTTTGCCTTGAATTGAAAAGAGGACACAGTCTTCTAGGGAACCACATTCTTGGCCAAAGAGGACAGAAACTTCAGGGAAAGAAGTATATTCTCTTCCAACATGCAATTTTATAGAAAGGTAACAAAGACATACAATTTCCAAAACACAAGAGCAGTAAGTACTGAGATAGAAACACACCCTTGGAAATATACCCACTGAGCAATTTTACCTTCAACTTAAGAATTCCATTTTTGTCAAATACATTTTACAAAATACAATTTAGCACAAATATAATTTACAAGTCTACAAAGATAAAAGTCTAAAACACACTTCCAAGCTTAATTTCATGCCTTATTTAAAATAATCTTAGCAGAAAATGTATTGGCCCAATTCTGCAAATAAATCTCAAGCTCTAGGGAAACCCAGTTCTACAAAACTAATATTTAATTCTCAGGAAGACCATGAAAGGAAGAACAGCAACAGAACAGTATGAACAGTAGTAATTGTAGAAACTTCCTTCAAAGCACATGCAATACTCCTATGGGTGCTAAGTGGAGCCGTGCATGCATTAAATCAGATAGGAGTACTTACTATTACTGCTACTGCTGTCATTCCTAAGGGAGCTGGCTGCAACAGGGGGTAACATAAATGGTTTTGTGACACTGACTCTGGAATCTAAATAGAAAGCAATAATGCGTCAGTGTTATGTGATTTTATATGAATTACAGTGTCCCCAAAAGGTGAAGACAACACGAGCGTACAGGCCAGGTCCACTTCCCAAATCGAGATGATTCAGACCCCATTTATTTCACACTGAGTCCTGCTGCTCTATTTCATGAAGAAGTTCACTACATTTGCCCCACAGGTCAGAAATCCATGGCCTACATATGGTAATAAATATGAATAATGACCAGTTGTTGGCCACTTGTCATTTAAAAAGGAAAGCAGTGAAATTCAAGTTTGTGCTATTGGGACCCAGTGTGGGGCTGCGGGTTGTCACCACAGAGTAACAGGTGAGGAGCAGAATTCATGATTCAATTAGGACCTTACGGAAAATGTTTGAGAAATAAACATTAAGACTGAAGGTAAAGAACAATATAATTGTATATGACTAACAAATACCAGAAAAAGAATGAGTACCTGTCTCACGTATTGCTTATTCACACACGGTTCTTTAAATTGAAAATTATGAGTACTGTTTTGGCTTAGAAACCAAGATATATATAATCATTAGTTTCTGTGCCACTGATAGTTGCTTTTTTATTGGACATACACACATGCACCTTTTATGGCTACACGTACAGTTTAGTCAAAGGTGGGTTCTGCTCTACACATGTAAGAGTCAAGACTGATATTTACATTTAAACTGGAAATGCTATATGTCTTACCTTTCTCAGGACTTAACGTTGAAGGAAGCACACAATCACTAGTTTCAGATACCACCACAAAGTCCTTGAAGGCATCGATGGATCTATTAAAAATTCTAAAGAATTGTTCAGGAGTAAAGGGTCTGGGTTCCGGCCTCTTGGAGGATGCTTTTACATTCTAGAAAGGGGGAAAAAAGTGGACTTTTATTTTTAAAATAGTCTGTAGATTTTACTGATGCCAAAATCGTGCAAGATAAATGTCCTTTAAAGATTCTTAAGACTAACACTTTTAGATAGCTGTTTTGACGCGCACAATTCAAAGCAGTAACGAAGGATAGTGACCCCATCAGGTCAAGGTGGCGCTCAACTCGTGACCCAAGCCACAGTGGGAAAAGAGGGTGCAGTGAACACAACCCATCACAATAGAATGGTCCTGACGACAAGTACAGGACAGGTAGGTAGGTGCTGAGCCTAGCAGTTAAGAGGGCAGTTGATACCTGTGTCCCTGATGGAAGGAGCTGGGTTTGATAACCAGCTGTGGTTCCTCATTCCACCTTCCAGGAGAGCCACACCCAGGGAGACAGCAGGTGAGGCCTCAAGTAGTCAGTTCCCAGCCACCCCCTGACTCTGATCTTGGCTCAACCTCCATCATTGCAAGCAATTGAGAGATTGAACCAGTGATTAGGAGTTCTACCTGTGTCTCTATCCCATGAGTCAAAACCAAACCAAAAGTTAATAGAGGACTTTTCTCTTTAGAGATACTCATTGAAAACATTAGTGTTGGGGCAGGCATTTAGTATAAGACACTGCTTGAGACGCTAACGTACCACATCGGAATGCTAGGGTTCCATTCCCGGCTCCACTCTTGATTCCTGAATCCTGCTAATGTGTACCCTGGTGGGCAGCAGGTGATGGCCCATGTACTTGGATCCCTACCATTCATGTTGTAGACTCAACTGAGCTCTGGGCTCCTGGCTTTGGCCTGGCCTAGCCCTGGCTATTGCAAGCATTTAGGGAGTGAACCAGCAGGTGGGAGTGAGAAAGCTATCTCTGTCTCTTCCTCTCTCTGTCTCTTAAGTAAATACATTTTTTAAATTAATGTTGATGTTAAAAATACCTGACCAGAGCAAATACTTCAATATCTAAAAAATTTAAGTCTAATGATATTAAATATAGGCAAAGGCATGGAGTGAAGAGAATCTTATACACTGCGGGTATAATGTAGACTGGTAAATTTGATATTATCTAGTGAAGTAGGGTAGGTGTCTATCCTGTAATCCATGAAAGCTACTCCTAGGCAAATAGGTTAGTGAAACTCTTGCACATATGTACCATAAAGCATGTCAGAAACTTCTCAGCAGCAATGTCTGTAACCTTTATGTCAGTCAGTGGGATAGAGGCTTAATAAATAATGGTTTGTTGAATCAATGGAACACTCTATAAAGAGTAAAAAATTAACTACAGGTGCAGCAGCAAAGTGGTTACATCCTATAAACATAATGCTGAGTGAAAGAAGCAAGTCACAAAAGAATACAACAGTATGCTTAGTTTATATAAAATTCAAAACAGCAAATCAAACCTATATTTTAGGAAGATATAAATGGGTGATTATACTTACAAGCAGGACAATAATAAACACCTACAAATCACTTACTGTGTACTATTCTAAGTATTATATATACATTAACTCATTCTCCAAAACTACTGAGAATACCATCTGCAGTCTCCTGGGTTCCAGCCCAAAGCAACACAATTTGTAAATGTGCCTTCTTTACACTGCTTCTCCAAGAACTGCCACTCACCAAACACCTAATTAATTGTTAAAGTCCCATGCATCTGTTATTTCCTTCATGACATCTTGTATTTTAGGCCCTTCTTTCTGTCACCTCTTATGAATGCCATCAGCACACTTTCTGTAGTAGTCATATAATGTATGGTAGAGATGTTAATGTTGAGAGATCATTAATTCTAAGATCAATACACTCTGGCTTCAGAAATTACAAAGGCCATCAGCAGAAACAGTAAAATGTAGTGATTAGGTGATTTGTATGGTAAGACTTCTAAGATTGGCAAGTACAATGGGACTGACACTGTCGTTGGTTCTTAAAGAGTAGCTGGGACTCTGATGAGAGAGGGGAGAAAGTATTTAAATATTCAGGTAGAAAAAGCACATTAGTGATAGAGCCGGAATCTGAACTCCAAGATCTCATTCTTAATTTTTGGAGTATACAGTAAATTGAAGCCAAAGACTCTCATGCCCATATCCCGACATTGGAGATGACCAATTATCCAATGACTTTGAGGAGCCCTGCTTTGTTGAGAGCTAGGGAGTTATTACAGTAAGGGTCAGAGGGGGACTATCAGTGTTCACTATGGACAATTTTCCATTTAGATGAACATCTGTAACTTAGTAGGAAGGTTGTGAGAACTTCATTCTCTTATACTATTTTTTCATATAAGATGAAAGTAGGACTGCTTTTACAGTGTAGTGAAAAGAATTTTTTTTATATGAGATGACAATATTTAACTCTGAATATACATTTTAGCATTGTAGTATACCTCCTTGTTTTCTATGCTCATCTTCAAAAGATTTTTTAGGGGTGGGTCTTGTGGCACAGCTGTTAAGCTACTGCTTATGACATCTACATCCCATATTGGAGCACTTTGGTTCAACTCTTGTCCGATTCCGATCCAGCTTCCTGCTAATGTGCGCTTTCAGAGGCAGGAGGTGATGGGTCAAGGTGATAGGAAACTTGGATGGAATTCCTCGCACCAGGCTTCAGCCTGGCCCAGCTCTGGCTGTTTTAGGCATTTGGGTAATGAACCAGTAGATGGAAGATTTCTCTCTCTCTGCCACTTTACATTTCCCTTAAATAAATAAAACTTTTAAGAAAGAGTTTCAAGGTCAAGGTTCCTGAATTCTAAACAACACAAATTGAAATGCTCCACGCTCCCCCCCACCCACTAATTGGCATAGGTTTCAGAGAGGAGTAATAAACAGTCCCAGTGAACATCAGTTACCTTAGGTGAGTTTTCTTCCACACACTCCACAAGGTCATCCACTATTTTCCCAAGTTTGTCTATGATAGAATAATTACTCAAGCCTTCAGAAATATTTGAAAACTTATCCAGAAGATTAGTCAAGCTGACTGACAACTGTATCACCATCTCATGTATCCAACAATGACTTGGCTGCAGGAAATGGAAAGAAAGGAAACAAAGCCTCTGTTTTAGTAAGTGCAGTAAACTTAGAATACTCTTCAAAACCATCAATGTTTCAATTATTGACTGCCGGACAATGGGTTTTCTTAAAGCAGAACAGGTAAATTCTTGTGTTGTTTTTTTTTTTTTTTTTTTAATTCAGGTCTAATACCCTGTTTCAAAATTTACAAATGCATAAAGACCAGAGAAAAATATTGATGATATTCTATTCTATGGAATAAAATTAAGCCAAGACAGAATCAATTTTTATCCCTGATAAAGTACAGATATTAATGGAAGTTAATGCTATTAATGAATATTTATTGTTTATACATTGTTTCTCAAAACAGCTTTAGATGCAGAGAGAATTGTAAAAAATTACTATGGGGAGAATCCAGCCTTCAGTTTTTTGAAAGAGTGGAATATAAAACAATTGATTGATAATAGCTACATTTCTAAGGTGCTTGATAGATTCCAAGACTTCTAAACAGATGAACTCTTGCAGGTATATACAAAACAACCCTGGTGGAAATTGGTCTAAGGGAGAAGTCCTTCTGCCTAGTGGCAGAACAAACTACATTATTTATGGGACCAAGAGTAAAACGAAAATGTATTCATTGTTCAAAACCTATTAAGAATTTAAAGATTGTGCGAGGACAGCATTAAAGCAAGCAAGGAGCCCAGCCCATGAAGCTTGTCTTGCCTATTAGAAGCTCAAGCTCTGGAATCAGGAACACCTGAGTGCAATTCTGGCTAAGACTCAAGGCATGCCACAAAAATTCTCTGAACCTCACTTTGCTTGTCTATGAAATGGGAATTATGAAATCTTCTATAAAGGGTAGTTGTAACTAGATAACGTAGATAATCAGAAACTAAGTTTCCTGAGGGCAGCATTTTTTAAAAGTCTTGTTCCCTGTGGTGATGAGTGGATGCACAAGTATATAAAAAAGATTAATGAATAAGAAAAAAAATTTTCATATTGAGGATTAGCATACTCTTTGAACCAAAAGTAAATAATTAAGCTTTGATGCCAAGAGGAAAAATCAAGGATATTGTGTAGGTATATTACATCAAGATGAAGCACATTTCCACCAAAACATTTTTCATTTTAAGATTCAAATGTAACAGTAATAATTATGTAATTTCTTCTATATAAATAACAATGGCATTTCTATTATAATAAAAATATTGAACTCAGAGTAACTGACGCTATGGAAAATGAATCAAGCCATCAACAAACTATTTACCAACAAAATCTCTGTGGGGAAAATGAATTACTTTTTATTCTAAATTATACAAGAGAGCCATTCTATATTAATTGTTTTCTATATTAATTTGACAGAACAGTTTTAGTTAATACGGTGAGAAAAGAAACTGGTTTATGTACAAGTATGCAAACCCCAATTACTGGAAGCATTAAATGTCATTCAAAACTTTTAGGATTGTTGGTTCTACTTTTGGATAAACTAGATAAACAAATCCCCAAATGGGAATTAGTTCAAGTGGCCTTCTCAACACATCATGATCAAGTTCTAAAGACTATGTATTTACAAAGTGTGTTCAGAATGGATTCTTTGTTTTGTTAAGTGAATACTTATCTCAAGCACATGTAAGTTCATACTTGCGTCATTAGTAGGTCTCTTTCAAAGCTGTCCATCTTTCCTTAGATAAGGGACTGTTCTGCAAGTTTCTATTTAGGCAGTGAAAATTCTTTTTAGATAGCCAGGCCTATCAGCAAAGACTGTTAGGCTATGGAACACAGCACATACTGTAAGTTCTCTTAGAAGAGTAGCTATGTGTTAGAATAGCCTTCACCAACTAGTTCTTTCAGTTGTAAGTGTACAGATTTTTCTGTGACAAATACCATTCTAGTATTAATCTTTTCAAACTCTTTCCAGCACTTTATGAATATTGTTATACATCCTTCTCTGGGATCTTCTGATAAGAGCAAAATCAAATTTCCTTGTTGTGAATTAAGGCACTTCATTTTTGTGGTTGTTGCCTTAAATGAATGGGTTCCTTCCTTTTCTTCTCTTTCATGGTTAAAGTAGAAAATATTTATTTTTTATTTTAATTTTAATTAAAGATTTATTTATTTATTTATGTGAAAGGTGGAAATATAGAGAAGGAGAGGCAGAGGCAGAGAGAGAGAAGTCTTCCATCCACTGGTTCATTCCTCAAATGGCTGGAGTTGGGCCAGTCTGAAGCCAGGAGCCAGAAGCTTCCTCTGGGCCTCTCACTTAGGAATAGGGGCCCAAGGACTTTGGCCATCTTCTGCTGCTTTGCCAGGTGCATTCACAGGGAGGTGGATTGGAAGTCTAGCATCCCAGTCTTGAACCGGTGTGTATATGGGATGCCAGCACTGCAGGCAGGGCTGAACCCAGTATGCCACAGTGCTGGCCCCTATTGTTAATTTTTAAACTGGAAATTCTATTTATCTCTATTTTCAACTGAACTTTGTTTACATGTTTTATTCTAGTTCCTATTTAGCTATAACCCTTTCTCTCCACATTTTCACATATCTAGATCACCATTTTGAACAATGAACTTTTTCCAGTCAAATTTTCAACTCCAATTCTATAATTTCTTATAGCTGCCTTATGGAAACCCCCAAACCTAATTTTACCCTAATGTGTCCTTTTCAAGACATGAACAATTTGTAGAGAGTTGATAAGAACTTTTCAACTACACTGTTGAAAAACTATTTATTTGTATCTTCTAATTTACTTAACTATATTTATTAGCTTTTTATGATTCCTAGATTTATTAAAGATAAAACAGTAGCAAGCAAATAATATTAAATGTCAGCCTGTTTTGACCGGCCTTGACTTGACTAGAATATCAAGCACTTTCATATATAGTTTTTAAAATGAAATATTAGGGCTGGGGTCGTGACATAACAGGTTAAGCTGTTGTCCGGGAAACCAGCATCTCACATAGGAGCATAGTTCTAGTTGCAACTGCTCTGCTTCTGATCCATCTCCATGCTAATGCTCCTGGGAAGGCAGCAGAAGGTGGTCCAAGTGCTTGGGCCTCTGCCACTCATATGGGAGACCAGCATGGAGTTACTGACACCTGGCTTAAGCCTGGCCCAGCCCTAGCCGTTGTGGCCATTTGGAGGGTGAACCACCAGATGGAAGATCTCTTTCTCTCCCTCACTGTTACTCTGCCTTTAAATAAAATAAATATTAAAAAAATAAGAAATTAAACATTGTCACTGATTTCCAAAGAGAACAAAACACAATGAACTAAGTAATTTGTTTATGAGATAACAGGCAGTCTCTCTCTGTTTTTCAATTCTTCTAAGATTATGATTATGAAACAGATGATAAAAGACTGTCAATTTCACAAATGTACTTTGTTCTTTGCCCTAATAAATAGCATTATCAGGGTTTCTTATATTTCAGAGACCATTTTAAACTTAAATAAATTTAAATGAATATTCATAACATTCATTAGAAGAACTTAAGATGCAGTGTTCTCTTTTTCACTGGAAGATGTGAAGGGGGAGAGTTGACAGTCACACAGGATGTCAAATAGCTGACAAAAAGAATAGTTTTCAGATTCCTGAAGTGCATGCAATTTGATGTTGTATTCACCCATGTGCCCATAGTTTCCAGAAGAAAAAAATAGAGACCGAACTTTGAATGGAAAGTTTGTCTAGATTTTTCTTTGACTCCATACTCCATATGTTTCTAGCTGCTTTATTGGTAGTTCCCGTCTCACATTTTCTGAATTAGCTAATTAGTTAGCTTCTGGGTTAGATAGAACCCAACTCTACCCAGGACTACTGAAATGACATATGCTTTTTATTCCTATATATTTAACACACATTATCCTATAATGCTAACTAATTCAATGATATTGAGCCAATATCCTTAGCCTATTGTCATGCCACTCCCACTGATGATTTAGGGCTTTTAAATTACCATGAGTACCAACTCCACTATTTCACTAAATAAAAGATAAAATGAACAATAAATAGAATGAAAAGTTTTCTAAACACAACTAAACTATGACTGCTTCCAAAGATCAACAGTGAAAATTCCCATGTAAATTCTAAAACCAAACACATGTTTTTAAAGATGATATATAAATTCTATAAGATGTCCAATACAGCACTTCTGTAGTCTCAGAGCTGGTAAATGTGAGACTCTTCCTGAAATAAACAGGGTGCTTTAAAAACACCCCGGGGACCTGCTAATCTGCCATGTTTCCTCCTCTCCATTCCCCGCCTCATTCAGTACATTTTTAGTTAAGAGAAGTTTAGCACGGATTTTTAGTTGAAAGAAGTTGACACATCATCCTGCATCAGTATCAGATACAGAGGGTCCCTAAAGGCAGTCACTGTAAGATTTATGGAATTAGGGGTGGACATGGTGGTGCAGCAAGTTAAGCTGCCACCTGCAACACTTACTTCCATACGGAAGTGCCTGGGAAACAGTCTCATCTCTGCCTCCAGTCCAGCTTCTTGCCAATGCACACCCTGGGGAGCAGCATGTGATAGCTTAGGTTCCCACAACCGACATAGGGAACCCAGGTAGAATTCATGGTTACTGGCTTCAGCCTGGCCCAGCCCCAGCTGTTGTGGGCATCTGGGGAGTAAACCAGCAATGGAAGATCTTTCTCTCTCCCCTTCTTTGTTTGTCACTCTGCATTTCAAATAAATGAATTAAACTAAAAAAAAATATTTTTTATAAAATTAGAAGCTGAAAGTCAGCAAAACATACTATAGCATCTCATCATGAATGTACTTTAGGCTACTTTTTTATTTGGTAGCTATTCTTACAAAGAATATCTATGCAATTTCTCATTGGGTCAAGAGTTGGCTTCTCTCTGGTGAGAGTTCTCTTCACAGGAACTGAGGTGAAATATCAGAGATTCCAATGGAGAAAAGCCCTGCTTGGTAAACTAGGAAAGCTCTGAGGAATATTCACAAGTATTCACCCAGCCTTCTTACTCAACTAAACACTTTGTTTTGTTTTCTATAT